GAACTTGTTGAACTTCCTCCGGACGTTAAAATCATAGATAACAAGTGGATTTTCAAAAGCAAATTGGACTCAAATGGAGAATGTTGAACGAAAGAAGGTGAGATTGATTGCAAAAGGGTTTACTCAATGAGAGGTCACTGATTATAATGAAATTTATTCACCTGTTTCATCCAAATATTCTTATGGCACTTGCAGCACATTATAAGTTTGAGTTTTATCAGATGGATGTTAAGACGGCTTTTCTGAATGGAGATTTTTCGAAAAGGTTTTACATGAGACAACCTGTAGGTTTTGTTGTGAAAGGAAAAGAAAACTTGGTTTTGTTGAAAATACAGCCGATCAATGTATTTATCTTAAAACCAGTGGGAGAAATTTTATTTATCTTGTCCTGTATGTTGATGACATTTTACTTGCAAGCAGTGATTTGGCTCAGTAGGTCTCATTCGAATCCAGGACAAGAGTATTGGAGAGCGACTAAGAAAGTTATGAGATACTTAAAGAAAATGCTCACTTTCTAGCGTTCAAATCATCTTGAGGTGGTAGGTTACTTAGATTCTAATTTTCCTGGATGTCAAGATGATTTGAAATCAACATCAGGTTATATTTTCATATTGGCTGGTGGTGCCATCTCGTGGAAAAATGATAAACAAAATCTAGTGGCATCTTCTACTATACAGACTGAATTTGTGGCATGTTATGGAGCTACAATTCAAGCCATTTGGTTGAAGAATTTTATTTCTGGACTGAAAGTTGTTGACTCCATCTCAAGGTCAGTCACTATTTATTGTGATAACAGTGCAGCAATGTTCTTTTCAAGAAACAATAAAAGTTCTAGTGGATCAAAACACGTTGACATCAAATATTTGGTGGTCAGAGACAGGGTTAAGGAAGGGCAGACAAAAATAGAGCATATTAATGCAGAGACAATAATTGCAGATCCTTTAACTAACGGACTTACTCCTGAAATTTTTAAGACACGTGTTACTAATATGGGTATTGTGGAAACCTTTGATGTTTTTTGTTAGTGGGAGTTATTTATGTAAGGCAACTCATTTGTTTTTCGAGTACAGCCCCTTTTCAATAATAATATATATTTTCCCCTATCCACAAAATATTTTGTGCCTGCATTTGACTTATGTATTTTATTATGATATCATTTTGATCTTGAGATATGGCAATTAAAGACATAAGANGCATTTTGAGGATCGATATGAATTAACACAGTTGTTTATCACATTTGGTGCTAAGTTCATACTGCATACTGCTACATTGATTGGATGATGGGGATCCATGTCGATAAGAATGTTGGCATTTGTAGATATGGAGTGGTCTTACATCGTTTGATTGGTGTAACGACTTCCATGTTCGACGTTAACATTCTTGTGGGATCGGATCACGTTGTGTAAGGTGTTATCATTGCAACTATACTTGTATGGCCACTTATGTAGTCTGACCCGAAAATTAAAAGTTTTGTTCTATAGCAATCAAATGTTTGCCCAAATGGGAGAATGTTAGAATAATTCTATTATGTGGGCTTCCATTTAATTATGAATTTTACGGGTTAGATGTATGGTTTGCAATGATACTATGATTAGGCCCAATATGTTAGTGATCACGTAGGCCGTTGTACACCTTACAAACTTTATTATTTATAATGTGGTAATTTTAAATATGTGGGAAGGAATTAAGTAAACCCTAATTAGGGTTAGAGTCGGTAATTGACCTACTTTATGATTTCCTATATAATGGCTAGATCCCCTATCCTCTCCATATGTTTTTGGCTTGCCCCATTGACAGCCGATTATTTTGATGAGTAAGGAGAGGAAGATCCAGGTAGTAATATTCACACACATAAAATATTTTCCGCATGTATAAATTTCGAACTATCAATTGATATATGTGATTCTTGTTCTTAGCATGACTGTATTAAATAATTTCAACAGAATCTACAGGTCATTAAATGTTTATTTTTTAGTATATTGGTGAGTTTTTCATGGGGCTTGCTTGCGACCATATATATATATATATATCTTTTCGTAAGTGGCAAACATAATTAGAATCGGCCTGATCAATAAAATTAGGAGGCTGTACCGTATAAACATTCTTCTTCAGCGTGCCATGTAAGAAAGTGATATTGACATCAAGTTTGCTGAGAGGTCGATCAAATGCTAAGCTCGTATTAGGTGAATAATTGTCGGCTTGACAAACAAACTAAAGGTCTCATAGTAGTCTATATTGGGGCCTTGATGGAAACCATTTGCCACAAGTCGCACCTTATAGTGATCAATGGATCCATCGACTTTTCGTTTGATGGGGTTAACTGGGGGCAGAGGATTATTGTTAAGAGGGCCGAAATTAAATAATTCATTGTAATAAAATTTATATATAACAAAAAAGTTGTTAAAGCACATTGTTTATTCAAGTCATTCTGGTCGAGAATTTAAAATATAGTTGTCATCTATTATAGAATCTAGATCTGTCTTCTTAGGAAGTTCTCATTTATGAAGTGTTTCACAATAGAAATTGAAGGTTGATTTTTGGCCATGATGGGTACTTTCACTAGATTGACATGATTTTTTAAAGAAAGAAAACAATGTCTTTTACCTTTTGACAGAAGGTTGACCTTCTATTTGTAATTCTAAAAATCACAAAAAGAAACAAAAGTAGGAGACATAGTAACAATGAACCAATAATAGAAAGAAAAGGCAACAAAAATCCAACATTAAGTTGGGAAGGCAATAACAATAAAGTTATTCAATAATAAGCTCGCAAAGCAACAACAATCCAATTTAAAAATAAACCGACAAGGCGACAACTGTCCAACGATAAAAAATTAAAGGCAACACGGTCCAACAATAAAAGACCGGCAACACGATCCACAATAAGGTGGCTTCTTACTATTTCTCTATCTGCCGCCACGTGGCCAATAATAGGAGCCTCGTTGAATGAGATGTAACACTGCTCCTTCAATTCTCGACGTGATTATTTGTAGAAGGTGTAAGCTTTGGTAGGACAGTGAAGTTATTGATATAAAAGAAGAGAGGTCTTACGAACTTCATCTGAAGTTCATCATAGCTGAGGTGATGAAGTGATTACAGTTTGAAAAGTGGCGATGCTATGGTATGTGATTTGTTTGGTTATCGATGCGTTGGAGTTATTACAGTGGTGCTCATTTCGAGGCAACACTAGATACTTAAAACTTTTTCTTCAATACATCCACTTGTTCTTTCTTAAAAAATAAAACCTTTTCAAGAGGGAGTTGATATAGCTTTCGATAAGGTTTTCTTATAGGGTTTGCTCGTAGTTGAAGTGTAGTTCTCATAGACGACACCATCCTGTTGACCTCAGTTTTCATTTGGACAGTGTGGCCAACAAATCCCGTATCTATGCACGTCCATGTGTAAGGCTCCAACATAATTGGACAAATCGTTAAACGTATATGGCCTTCTTCGAGGGTAAGAGAGGCGATTGTGAACATTCTGACAATACAGTAAGTCGACTATAGATGTATACTTGGGTATGGGAGAACAATAAGTGTGAGCCACAAGGACGTGTATAAAGTAAAGTAAAGTTACCTATGAATGACATTAGGTGTAAGATTTTATATTCGAAAAGGTGAAAGGTTACCGTTGGATGCATGAAACGTAGCCACATCTTGAGGGCCGAAGTATCAACGTCATACACATCCCCTCTATTATATGTTGAGATAGCATTTAATAATTTTAAAAAGTGCCCACCCTATGACCTGGGTTTGACATCAGAAAAGTAGATTGGAAACCTGAGAGACATCTACCATAGATCTTGTATGGATGATCTCTTATATGAGACGAAGCTATGAGAGATGTCTTGTGGATCAAAGGCTTAAGAAATAAGTTGTAGCAGATCGTGGCACCTCACCTTGGATATGGAAATTTGGCCTCTCTATGTCGCCTCAGTTAAGGTGATTCTATCACTTCGATTTCCTATATTTGTGACCTCGATTAGGTCAGGTAAACAGGTAATGTGGAGTGCGAGCCTAATGTGGCTTTTTCCTATTTTCCTAACTGGTTGCCATGTGACCAATAATAGGAGGTGTAACAAGTAGCACTAGTAGGCATATCAAACATTGAAGTAGAAGGACTGGTGGAGGGAAGGGTCCTAACGTTAGGAACTTGAATGGTGATTGGGGTGTGCACGTGAGGCAGCCAAGAAGTAATAACATCTAGACTTGGGGCACGAAGGATATAATGGTATAAAGGCAAAGGGAAATGTATTTTCGCCAAAATCGGTCATTGCCAAAGTCCACATGCCAAAAAATATTGATCTTTTCTACAGAAAATACTTGAGAAGTTACTCAACCCATTTTTCAAGAAACAAAATCGTGTTCTCTACTTTATATGTTCTCAAGTTCTTAACTCACTAAGATATTTCATCAATCAAGTTGATTTTACTCGTTGGTAAATTAAAGGTTATCAACTCACCAAAAAATATACGTATACAATCCTATCTAGAAATTTAGATGAAATAACCGACGATCAAGTGAAATTTATTTTTTCACATGGTCATGCCATAGAATTAAACTCAACATTAAATTCAAGTGTACTAGTATCACCATTAAACTACTTGAGAGATAAGGACATATTGCATGCAAACTCAAGTAATAAAATAGCCGACACTATAATCTTCTAGTAGAATGTTCTAACCTCATACATTGATTGTGAAGGAATTAGTTTTATCATCAAAACTCACATTATTTCAAACTGTGTTTCTCAACGCAAACACTCAACTTATATTATCACAAAGTGATCATTGATACATTTATTCACATATTCATTATTAAATAAATGTAATAACATTTAATAAAAAAATAAAAATAAATCATTTGTAAAACTATCATTTTATTACAGCAAAATTGTACTACATATTTATAGAACCCAACAATAAGTTCATAAGAGTAGGTATAACTTTCGAATAAAAAATAAGAGAGAGAAGAATTAAAACTAAATTTGATTAAAAGTAAGAAACAGAGTAAAAAATCAAGGATATGCTCATTGGAGTGTTTGATTTGAAAAAGGTAAAAGGGTGAAATAAATAAAGGGTAACTACATTCACACCCAGGTTTTTATTATCTACGTCACGTTTTCATTCCAATAAATATTTTCAAGTTTTACTGATTTTGACACTTATGACCCCCCAACATTTTTTGTCACATTTTTATCATTAATCTTCAATTAAATTAGACCTTATCTTTGTGATGATTTTCTGTCTAAATATTTTGTTAATGTGCAATTAAATGAGAAACAAATATTTTCTCAATTTTTTGTATTCCTGACGAATTTATTGGATGAAATGATAATCAAAGATAAGATGTGCAAATAATTAGAAGATTGAGGACAAAAACGTGACAAAAAAAATTGGGGACACAAGTGCATAAATAAACAAAGGATAGAGACATTCTTTGCAATTAAAATGTGGTGTACTTAACAAAAAGTATAGTGCATCCACAAATGATCGTGTATCATCAATTGATTGAATGGTCCTATCACGTATAAGGCCAATGAAAAATTTCCTTTAATTATAGTTGGTAAAAGGTGTCTTTATTTTCGGGTCTAGCCCTAGAATAAAGCAAAGCAATAAGAATTAAAATAATATCTTCCTTCCTTTTTCTTTGTCATAAAAAAAGTTAGGAAATATTTGTCTTATTGCTCAAACATGTAAAGTTTCCCATACGTTCTAACATTCTGAAACAGTGACTGCCTTTTTAAAATTAGGGAGGGCCAATTTTTCATGGAAAATTAGTAAATATTATATGCCCGGTAATGATTAAAATCCATTTTTAATAGACTTTATTAAAAGTTGAAAAGTTGATACAATGTGTGATTAAAATTTACAAACTTTGACTTAAATTTTAATCATATATAAGCTAAACACTGGTGCTACATGTCGGACCATATTCCACGATCCCTACATTTGAATGTGCCATTATTTTGTATAAAATATGGATTATTTGTCATTCGAAATTGCCAATTAAGTTGTACATAGTGAT